TGACTAATTCTGAATTCTTGAGGCTCTGACACCTATTGAACTGCTTCCAAATTTCACAACAAAGTTTTTGGAAAGTACATTCCTCACTGACAGCACCACTGCTACTCAATGAAGTATGATCTATACTTTTACAAAGTACAATTGGTGGGGAGAGCCAACCATAGCTCAAATACACACTAAATCTTTTTGCTTCCCCCAGGCCTTTCTTTCCTCACTCATTTTTCTCTGAATAGACTATTCCTCTCAACTTCCCAAATTCTCACCTACTAAAATCCTACCCCTAAAAGGTTCACTTCCAACATCAACCATCTTCTTCAAGACAACTTTACTCTTTAAAATGAAGACAATGAAAAAATAAATAAATAAATAAATAAATAAAATGAAGACAATGTATTTTCTCTCTCATGTACCTCTAAAATATTTTTTAAAAGATTTTATTTATTTATTCATAAGAGACATAGAGAGAGAGAGAGAGAGAGGCAGAGACACAGGCAGAGGAAGAAGCAGGCTCCATGCAGGGAGCCGGATATGGGACTCGATCCCAGGTCTCCAGTATCACACCCTGGGCTGAAGGCAGCACTAAACTGATGAGCCACTCGGGCTGCCCCTAAAATATTTTCTTTGTATTGTAATTACTTTCATTATATGTGTCCTTATTTTACCCAGTCTTAAAACTCCTTGAAGGTAATGACTGTGTTTTGTTTGTCTTTGCATCCTCCATAATAAGAGCTAATACAAATCCTACACCATGGCACTTACTACATATTAGTCAAATGAATTTACTCAGAGAATCTCTAGTGTGTGTGTATATAGAGAGAATATACATATATACATATACAGAGAATACGTATGTACATATATATACGTATAGAGAGAACCTCTAGTGTGTATGTATATCTGATAGATGATAGATAGATAGATAGATAGATGATAAATACATTCAGTTTATTTAGGAGAGGAGGATGGGATTTTGCATTTGTTTTTTACATCTAGCTTTCTCCACCTATATCCATTGTATTAAGGTTTTACTTGCCTTTTACTTTCTCCTGTTATGTCCATAAAAATATATTTAAGGAGAAAGTTACCATGCTGGCCAACAGTTTGTTTATTCTAATAGGCCCAAAAGAGAAGTATTCTTGGTGCAGAGTGATTGCTGGGGAGAAAATGGGTCAGATGCTTTTCTTCTGGAGAAGGATAAGAAGTATAAACTGAGAAAGAAACTTGTGAATGGCCCTCCTCAGATGAACTACTCAGTGATTCATCAAAACATAACTCATGCCTTGGCAAGTTAAAAGAAAAGATGATTTACATGAAAATTGTGATTTCTAGGTTATTAACATTTGAAGTTTGTCAGTTTGCAAAATCCTCCCCACTACTATGGTGATGATGCATTTGTAGGTAGAATGTGCCCATTAATATGAGCTGATTTATGTCACAATCACTTGTAATTTTGATAATCAATCTTTATTATTTAGGATGTCAAATATAATTCAAAATAAACTTTATAGATTGCTATTATATACTTAAATGAATTCACAAAATATTGGCTTTTTCTAATGTTTTTTAAAGTTATATGTTTTTAGGTAAAATACTTCCTTTCTCCAAAATTGTCCATACAACATGGTTGATACCTTGAGTGTTTCTTAACTTCCTAACCTCCCATCTCATGAATTCCTTCCTTGTTCCTTGTTCTCTAGTTGGTAAATCAAACATGATTTTTCTAAAAATATACAATTTCACCTTAATGCTTTTGTTCATGTCTTCTCACCTTTCCCCTGGATGCTTCTTATTCAACCTTCAAAACTCAAGTTGAGTCTCCTCTCCAAATCATAAGTCTGCCTTAGAGTCCCAGCCAATATGAACTACTTTTATTTTCGCTTCTTTTGCGTTTCATCTTAGCTCTTACTATCACTTAATTTGTTTTATTGCAATTCTCTGTGTATTTGTCTTTTACTCTCAATACAGCATAGATTTTGCTTAAGGAAAGCCATAACTTACTTGACTTTATGTTCCCATTTCCCAAAAGAATGCCCTTCTCAGAGGTCTTCCTATGTGTTTGAATTAAACTGTTCAAAAGCTCTTAAATAGATTTAGAATACCACCTGGCATATTCATCTTTTAAGAGACATCAAAACTGATGTGGTTAAAACTTAATGTAAGTAATAGAATTTCACTACAAGAGTATGTCTTTAAAGTTAGAAAATATCTGACTTATATGAATGGGAAATATAACTTATGTTTCTTTCATTAATGATACAATTTTCAGGTGTTAGTTTTTTGGAGCAACAAAACCTTATAACTTTTGAGATAATTGTAGATTCACATAGGTTGTAAAAAAATATAGAGAAATCTGTATGTCTTTCACTTACTTTCCGATAGGATGTCATCCTTTAATTGGCACTTAAATTTGGATCAAAGTATACAATACTAAGTTATTAGTCCAACAACATTGAGTAAAATTCTGGTTCTCCTTTTCAAAAATACTTTTATAGGCAAACTTGATCATCCTTATCAAAGGACAGAGAATACTGGATAGATTACTTATGAAAAATGTACAAACCCACTACACTTAAGCCCCTCAGAAAGAGTTACTTTCACATTAATAGATGCTTTTAATAAAGACAGTCATTGTTCATTAGGGAAAAGTTATCAGATTATAATTTACTCATACCCAAAAGTTCTTTGCAGAATTTGAAAAAGCCTTAAGTCGTCTAGGTCTTCCCACTTTCTATTTCGAAGCATAGTGAACCTTTTCACACTAGTCTTAACTGGTTGCAGAGTGGGAAAACGGTTGATCAATTGAGGAATTCTTTGAATATTGAGTTCCTATTTGTGCAAAGCAGAAAAAACGAGAGGTTTCTAAGCTAAATATGATAGATCATGTGCAGTGCACTCTCAGGAATAACTGGTCAAGGATTTAGTAACATTTGTATCACGTTTTTCCTTTTGTCAGCTCAGTCTCTTAGCATCTAGTTTAATCCCATTACTTTTTATTCATCTTCAAAAATCCTGCTTTTATTCTTTGCTCAAATCATCCTTCAATCTTTTCATTCTAACAATTTCCAGTTACAAAAGCATACATAGGGAACACCTTGCAATTTACTGACAGTGTTTGTTTCTTAAGGAAAGTAAACACCAACCTAAATATTTTGCCCCAGGATTCAACCTCCTGCTTTGCTCTACTATATCTTCTGTTTGTGACATAAAGTATATGAGACTCCTTTCCCTGATACTTAGACATTTTACTTTGTAGCATGCCTATTAAAGGCTATTCTCTTTGATGAGTCATTTTGTCAGATAGTTTTCCAACAGGATTCCACGTTGGAGAATGGGAAAGGGTGGGGAGATGATGGAGAGGCAAATAGACACAGAGAGCAAAACAGTCTAAAAGCCAGAAGCTTTGGTGTTGAATCCATCACTTTATCATCTTGTATATATGAGCTATATGATCTCATATCCTCCATTTTTTCATCTGTAATTAAGAATAGCAATACCATCTTAGAGGACTGTTGTAAGAATTAAGGAAATAAACTACAAGAAAGTGTTTTAAAATATGCATATAAGGGATCGCTGGGTGGATGCTCAGTGGTTGAGTGCCTGCCTTCAGCCCAAGGCATAATCCTGGAGTCCCAGGATCGAGTCCCACATCAGGCTCCCTGTATGGATCCTGCTTCTCCCTCTGCTTGTGTCTCTGCCTCTCTCTCTCTGTGTGTCTCTCATGAAGAAATAAATAAAATATTTAAAAACAAATAAATATGCATATAAATGGATCTATTTGTTTGTGCCTTGAGGGCAAGGGAGATACTGAATGCTCTCCCTAGAGTTACCTACAGTTTTCAGAGAAAAATACCTTTGGATGCACCAACCAAAATGTGTGTATTTGGAGAAAAGGGCTCCTGTCTATCAGTTACAATTTCCCTCAGTTTTCCATTCTTTCTAGGGGAAAAAAAGCCTTTAAAAATGCTGATGCATACTGGATATTCTCCCAAACCAGAGTTACGATTTTGCTATTTTAAAGACAATGTGGATGTTGGGATTAGTCTTTCTGTATCACAGAATGTCAACACATTTTCCAAAACTGAATTTATCAGTTAAATGTAGCCAAGAGATTTAGTTTATCTAAGTGCCCTACAAAGGAGAAATAGTTTACCACTGTTTTTACAGATTGAGGCAAATCTGACATATTATTGACATATGCTATGGATTTAATTTAATACCATAGTACAGATGTGTGCTCTGATAAGTTTTTGTGAAATCTAGGCTAAGATAGAGTTGTTTCAATATTTATGGGGTTGAAAATGCAGAGTTAGCAAAGGAAGCATTTTAATTAAAACAATATTTTGCCTTATATGCTCACAGTAAAATATAGGCCAATTCTTTTAAAGACTAACTACTTGTTTAAATATAGTTGTTGGGTTTTTAGGCACATTGAAATAGATTTGGGTTTTTTTCCAATTTTAAAATTTTTTATTTTTATTTATTTTTTTTAAATGCTTCTTTTTTTAATTTTTTTTATTTATTTATGATAGTCACAGAGAGAGAAAGAGAGAGAGGCAGAGACACAGGCAGGAGAAGCAGGCTCCATGCACTGGGAGCCCGACGTGGGATTCGATCCCAGGTCTCCAGGATCGTGCCCTGGGCCAAAGGCAGGCGCCAAACCGCTGCGCCACCCAGGGATCCCCAATTTTAAAATTTTTTAGTTATTGTTTTTCAAAGTTTTATTTATTTATTTGGAAGGAAGAGGATAAAAGAGAATCTCAAGCAGACTCCCTGCTGAGTGCAGAGCCTGACACCAGGCTCCATCTCACAACCCTGAGATCATGACCTGAGCTGAAACCAAGAGTTGTTTGTTTACCTAAGCCACCCAGCTACCCCCAGTTTTTTAAATCTACTGATTTTAGAACTACCAGAAATTCAAACTCAATAGTTCTGAATTTTCTTTCTTTCACTTAAATGTATATAACTCTTCAAGTTTAGCTTTTTTTTATTGTATGTTTTAGGTATCCTGGAGATAACTTCAGTGGAAATCGGAGTCGTTGCCGTCAAAGCCATTAACAGCAACTATTATTTAGCCATGAACAAGAAGGGGAAACTCTATGGCTCAGTAAGTATTCTGCTTTAATTTTCCAAGTCCACTGCAGTAAATCATTACCACAGTTTTGGAATGTTTCCCCCCAGACACTGAAGAGCTTTGTTATCATTCTATTGCTAGTAAATAGAGCCACAGTAGGCTGGTCACCAGAGTTTCAAGGGCTGGCAAAGCAGCTCTCGCAATTTTGTAATTTCCTCTGTTGTTCACCCATCAGTCTACCACACACGCTGTTGCTGGCTTTCGTCCGTCAATGCTCTGAACTGTTAACGGGTCATACTCTCACGGAAGCATCTGGTCAGATTGGCACGGGTGCTGCAGACAACTTGTAGAAGAATCATTGAAAACAAAGCTCTTAAATTGAGTAGGAAACCATACACTGTGTGTATTTTAGAGGTTAAGATAAAACAGGAGCTTCAAATTTTGTATTCTATTAAAATATGAGATGGGGAGACAGAGTAAGAAATTCACCATTTGTGTGCATTCAATCAACTCCATAATTTTATTTATGTACAATAGTCACTAATTCATTGATGTAGTTGGTATCCAGCTGACACTTTGAGTACATACATCTCTGTGTTTTATAGCAAATATTAAGGAATATCACTTCAAAATGTGTAAAAAACCTTATTTTGTTGATTAGCATAAGAACAATTGCACTGCCTGCCTAGAGCCAGCAGCTCCCAAACTTGATCACAATCACTGAAAAGATTAAAACACACTTCTAGATTTTCTGATACGTTAAAGCTGTGATAAGACCTAAGAATGTGCATTTCTAACGAGGTCCCAGGAATTTCTGATGCAACACTTTGATAACCCAAACTGAGAACCACTGGTCTGATTATAGAATAGTCATGTATTTCTTTTGTATCAGGCCCACTCATAAGTGGGGAGCTAGACACCCACACTGTGGGCCAGTCCCTCTGTCTAGCATAACTGCATTTTGCATGGCAGGGGAAGAAGGTGATTAAAGGAATTTCAGTTAAATTTTTCCATTATATGCAGCTCTGCTCATGAGCCCAGAAATGTAATGGGCCATTTTAAAAAGTGGTGCCAGTCAGGGTTCACATTATAATCACTTCTGAAGCATTTTTAATTTATTTTCTTGAATGTACATGCCTGAATCCCTCCTTTATCTACTATTATCAGAATTACTGGGTAAGAGAACTGAGTTTATATTCTTTGCAGAGATACTAATATACTTAGTCAAAACCAAAGCTTTAAAGTAAAGCCAGATCACACAATCTAGATCAAGAGAAAAAGGGTAAATAATTTTAATTGCAATAAAAGATTGAAATAACTTTTAATTGATAAAGTGTCTGTTTTTTAAAAGGTGACATCAAAGAGAAATGGAGAATTCTTAAATGAACTGTGTCAGAAAAATATTTAATACTTCTCTTACTTCCCCACCTTTTTCTTCTTCAGGCTCACATACTGTGCCTATGCTTCTTACTGAACTCTAAGATGTGTGAATTCTTTCATCCCATTTCTATATCTAAAATAGATACCTACTGCTTTCTATCATAGCATTCCCTTTTAGTTATCTGCAATGGGTTTTATCAGAAATTCTCTCATTAATGTGTTTGTTGTTGACTCTCTTCCCCTAATATATTGTGAACTTAAATTGGGCAGAGGCTTCCTTGTCCCACACTATACCCTCAGCACTCAGATCTATCCAGAGCACAGAGCCCCAAGACTTTATTTTTTTTTTAATTTTTATTTATTTATGATAGTCACAGAGAGAGAGAGAGAGGCAGAGACACAGGCAGAAGGAGAAGCAGGCTCCATGCACCGGAGCCCGATGTGGGATTCGATCCCGGGTCTCCAGGATCGCGCTCTGGGCCAAAGGCAGGCGCCAAACCGCTGCGCCACCCAGGGATCCCCCCCCAAGACTTTTTTTTTTAACTTTAATACTTATGATTCACCTAAATGCTATAAAACACATAGATTTCTAGATCCCTCCTCCAGAGATTCTGATACATTTGAGGTAAGGTATAAATATTTTTAAAAAAACACCTGAGAATCGGAGTCTGCTACAGGTGTACCTCACTTTAAGAGACAGTATTTTAGGGCCACCAGGGTGCTTCAGTCAGCTGATCAAACCACTCTTGGCTTCAGCTCAGGTCCTGATCTCTAGGTCATGAGATGGAGCCTGGTGTCAGGTTGCACACTCAGCTGGGAGTCTGCTAAAGATTCTCCTCCTTCTGCCCCTCATCTACCCACTCACTCTCTTTCTCCTTTTCTCTCTAAAATAAATAAACCTAGAGACATTGCTCTAAAAATTTATTTGGGGGAGGAAAAATGAGTATTTACTGCTACTTTTCTATACACAGCTCTGTTGCAAATATAAAATCATCTCAAATAACTTAATCCTTCTAGTTTCTAAACTGCACCACCCCCTTTATTAGAATGAATGTAATTATTCATGCAAAAAGCTATCTCTGCTTTGAAGCCATATAGTTTTATTTATTTATTCTTTTTGAAGCCATATAGTTTTAGACAAACTAAGATGAATAAATGGAAAAAAATAGTAAGGATTTAAATTCCTTTCTAATGCAGAATTCTTTGTTACATTATAATCCCTTTTTTTATATTATAATCCTTATTTAAGTAACTTACCTTTTCATCTTATTTTCAACCAAATAAATCATTTGACTTTTTTTTTTTAATCATTTTACTGTTACACTTAAATGTTAATTTGCAGAAGATAGGCACATTGGATAAATAAATTCCAGGAAACAAAGCTTAAACCAGTAACATTAACATAAATATACCTGTTTGTGATGGTTCTGATAATGTTCAAAATGATGATCTAGCTCATGGAAACACAGATATTTAAATATATACATATTCAGGAACTGAGAATTTAGTAAAAAAAAAATTTTAAATACCAAGTTGAGAAAAGCTGTCCTAACTGCCCAGTAGAGGCCAGCTAAAAGATGCCTACAATGACCTTTGTTTGGATTGGAAAAGGTGGAAGCAGAAGAGCAAAGACCCCAATTCCTTAGCTGCCTATTTGCTTTAGTGTGGATATGAGGGAAGAGGTACATTTCTAAAGCTAGAGTTTTGAGATTAGTGATTACTCTTCATCAATAACTCCAGGGTGAAATACTAGATTTGTGGAATGAAGGAAACATCAATTCTTGTCCCAAAGATCCCCTTGAAAACACATGGCCACTTGAAACAATGCCAAAGGACTATGGCTATAGAGTGGAATTTCCCAGGATCAAAGTCTCAGGTTTATACAATAAAGGCAGTGATAGTCACCATGCTTGTAATTTCTTTGATATGGTAATTCACAAAGCAAGGCATTCTGTGTCATAGTTTTCAATTATTTCTAGACCTCAGAGTAAACCTATTAAAATTCCAACTTATGGAAAACTGTAAATAATCTACAAAATGGGGAAATCTAGTATTTGTAAGAAACAATGACAGCTCCCCACCCTTCCCTGGCCTCTTGTTTAGTTATCTAGAACTATCATGATCTTGCTATAAGATCTGCTTTCCTACCAGTGTGGGCATATTTATTATGGACTTGTAGCTAGATAAAGTTTGAAAACTTGATAAGCTCAAGTTTTTTTCTGTAATTCTATTTTCCTCATGAGACCCCTGGTCATTACTCTGAAAAAAAGGATTATACATAATGCTATTCTTTATCATTGGCATATCACAAATACTGTTCATGGAATGTTTGCTTCTTGACAGTCATTCTAGTCACTTAAACCATGTCATCTTCAAAACACACCAGCTTTTTTAAAGGGCCCTAACATGTGGTTATGATGATCAATTAAAATGAATCATGAGCCTTCAGACACAGATTCTGTTTATGATTATGAGTTTTACTCTTCTGTTGCTGACAGTGCACATTAAGTGCACAACTTACGTACAAATGGCAACAGCAAACAAAACTCTTGAACTGGCATTCTCTGGATGGTTTGTGTCAAATGGAATTCAGTGTCATCATCACAGGAATAAAAGATTTTATTTTTCCCTTGCAGAAAGAATTTAACAATGACTGTAAGCTGAAGGAGAGGATAGAGGAAAATGGATACAATACGTATGCATCCTTTAACTGGCAGCACAATGGGAGGCAAATGTACGTGGCATTGAATGGGAAAGGAGCTCCCAGGAGAGGGCAGAAAACACGAAGGAAAAACACCTCGGCTCATTTTCTTCCAATGGTGGTCCACTCCTAGAGGAAGGTGATGCTTGTGGATACAGTGGAACCAAAGGTTCTTTTGCCAGGACTCTCTGGTATTCTTCATAAAGACAGGAGCTCAGAAGGCAAAGACACATTGCAGGTGTCTGCTTGCTTGAAAAAAAGGAAGTCTTTAAAGGTGTTGTACTCACTGCTGACATACGATGTTCTTTTGATTAGTTCTGTGTCATGCCTTATAATCGAGATATAAGCAGATTAAATGGGATGGAAGTTATTCCTAAGCGAACAACATTGTGGCTGGTTTTTTTTTGGTGAAGTTTTTGTTTCTGTGCTTGTTTTTTAACCTCTAAGATAGAACTCAAAGGACATGGGACAATCTGTTGAATGATCTTCAGGAAAGTTATTTATGGAATACGAACTCATATCAAAGACTTTCATTGCTCATTCATTCAAGCCTAATGATTCAATGAGCAGTAAGACACGCAAGCATTTCCTGGAAAGCACTTGGGTCACATCGTATGCACAACCAAAGGAGCTTTGGGCGTGGCATCATGGAAGAGTCAGATAAGATTTTAAAAAATGTAAACATGTTAGTGTAAAACTGTTCTAACAAAACAAATAGTATGGTATGCTTGTGCATTCTGCCTTCATCCCTTTCTATTTCGTTCTAAGTTATTTATTTAATAGGATGTTAAATATCTTTTGGGGTTTTAAAGAGTATCCTCAGCAGCTGCCCTCTGATTTACCTTTTCTTTTTCTTCAGCACACCACATGCATGTTCATGACAAAGTGTTCTTAAAACTTGGCAAACACTTCAAGAATTGGAGAGGAGATAGGGAAGCAGGGTGAGAGCCCCATGTGCTATCTGTTAACTTAATATCACTTCTGCAATAAGAACCATCAACAATAAATATGACAGTGCTGTGGCATGGCTTGATGAGAGATATCTGCCATCATTTAAAAACATCTATCACTCCTAAGGCTTCCTTTCATAAGAAATAGACCCAAAGGCCAAATTCTTCTCTTTTAATACACCAATGGGGCTCCAAGAATATGCTAAAAGAAGGAAAATTGTTAAATAAATTTTAGTACCTAGCCTCATTATTTACTGATTTTCTGCCATGCGTCTCAATGGTAAGTGATGAAGAGGCTGTCTGCATATATAAGAGCCTTTTATGAGTACCACAATAGTGCATCTCCTCCAAAGGAATTATTGAGGAATCTGAAGTATAACACTCCCAGGGGCTTAAACTGAGCAAATATATCCTGGTATATGTGTAGCCATATACTGAAATCTGTTCAAGCTGTATCATCTAGTCTTTACAAAACCGAATAAAAGTTATTTTCTGTAAATTTAAAGAGCTTTGGAAGATTCCATCATGTAACCATATCAAAATTCATTTTGTTAGAGCAGGTATAGGAAACAATACATAAGAGTATACCAGTCATCATCACATTGTATTCCACTAAATAAATACATAAGCCTTATTTGCAGTGTCTGTAGTGATTTTTTTTAAAAGTGTAGAAAAATACTATTTGTTTTAAATACTTTGATAACTATAAGATTATATTGATGCTGCAGTTTTATCTTCATATTTCTTGTTTTGAAAAGGTCTGTTTATTTTTACTGTTTGGATACAGTATATTGGTACAAGGGAAAGACTCACTAAATGTGTCTTTTTACTAAAGTTTAACTTCTAGAAAGGCTGGTGTTTTGTGATCCTCTCTTATAACTTAATTGTGTCAATGCTTAACCAGTGCTTCCAGTTAATCTGTTATTTAAGAATTAGTTTTATTAGGAAACTTTCCCATAAAGTAATCCCATAAAAGGTCTTATTTTTTCATTCCTTAAAAAAGTTGGGATTTCAAAAGATATGCATTTGAGGCAGAGAGTTTTGGCTTATGGCTAAAGTTGTGTTTTGTGGCATTTGGCTTCCAACTTGCTTCTTAACAAATCAGATTCTAAAAATGTTTAATTTTTGTGGTTGGAATCTGTATGTGAAAATATAATTGGTAACTGAATCTGAGAGCTATAATGTAATGTATTGCTATCAGAACTAGATTACCTTTGTTCTTTCATTTTAAAATAATAATTGCACCTGACACATGAATACAGACCACCCAAAACCAAAATTAAATGCTTGGTGAGACAAATATAGGATTAGATGACTGCACGAACAGCAAACAGGGCACAAACTGGATTCGTATTTCATGTAGCCATTTAGATTGCTAAGGAGACTATGTGTAAACAGGCATCAATATCAGACCCCAAACACTAAAACAGCTTCTAGCAAAATGTATCAAAGCTTGCAGAAGCCAAAAATAGAAAACATCTCCCTCACCTCCCCCTCCCAACACACACACGTGTGCAAGTGTGCTCGCACTTGGGTGCACACACACACACACACACACACACACACAGAGATAGAGACAGAAACAGAAAGGAGATTCTCCTGAATTTAAAAATGGCATCTTTGCTTGATATTGAGATAGAATTCTGGTCACCTTTGTAGTTGGATTGTGCTACTGAAGAAAAAGCAGTTCCAGCCCTGAATATTGTGTATTAAAAAAAAATCATCATGATTTTGGGAGCTCAGTCTCTGCGGGAAGTGTGGCCCCTAGCCATGATGTCAAGGTGAGTTGGCCATAAATGTGTGTCCATCTGAGTGCTGGTACTAAGGAGACTCCTCATAAAGATATAAAATCCCTCCCTCTTCCTACCTCCCCAAAGGCTGAACAGTGTATAGTATGTTACATTTCAATAAATCAATAAAAATGCTGGGAAAAGAAAATAAAAATATTGTCCTTGTTTGTTTTATTAGCCTATACCTAACTATACCTGGTAATAAAAAGAGAAGCTCAAGTGTTCTACGCATGGCAGGAGGTGGTTAAATGCCCCACAGTCCCAAACAACAACAAAAGAAAAAAAAATCACTGAAACATTTGTAAGTTTTCTTTAATGTTTCACATGTGTGAGTCAGCTATCCTTCCTCTAATAACAACCAAATGCTTTAGATTTTTCCTAAGGATTCAGGTCCACCTAGTTTACACAGTGGATAAAGAAGGATGAATTGAAAACAAGGATGGCTTGTGAAACAATGAAAGACGTTTGGAGGAAAGCCAGTAGGCTGCAAACTCTGATTTCAAGAGAGTATAGGCCGGTGGATTTGATTTGAAAAGTAGAAAGAGAAAAGGATAAAGTTGGGTCCAGGGCTCAAGCAAGGTTATGGACACCATCTAAATTCATCGGCATTAATGCTGCACAGTTCCAATAATTTGGATGTCATTAATTCAGGATTTATGATTATTCAGCCAAAATGAAATTTTACCTTTTCCTTATCAGTGAAAGCTTTAGCTGTTCCAAACTTGTTTAAGTACAGATATCTGTAGGAAACTCTGAAATACTTATGATGCCTAGTGCATTAGAAGTAACCCATTTAATACAAACAAATGCCAGGCTGATGAAGAATTCTTGTCTATTCACTCCATAGGACTTTGGCAACTTAAACAAAACAGTAAGAAAAAAAAAAAAAAACAAGAGTATTTTTGAAGGATACTGGAAAGAAATGGGCAGGTCTGAATCCACCAGAAGTGGGACATGAAACAACTAAACTCTGCCTCCCCCAGCACTTTTTTCCTCTTACCCCTGACTGGCTTTATTTGCTCGCCTACTGCTTGCCACCAATTTATGTCTTTCCAGCTCCACAACCCAAAACCTCTTTTTCTCAAGATCCCCAGGTGGAAACATCCTAGGTGTGAATGTTATTGGTCAGTTTGGTAAAGCATCCCAACCTCTAGAGAGAACAATATGACAAAGCACAGGAGCATTGGGATTGGCAGGTTTCGATCACGTGACCACAGAGCTACAGGGTGCAGGTTTTGGCAGCCCACACAATGGGAAGGAATGAAGAGTGTACCAAGCAAAGGGCAGTGCTGGGCAGATCTAAAAACAAATATGGTTCTTCATTATATCTATTTAAATGAGACCACTGACTTAAACATATACCTTTTTTCAAAACATGTTTTAATCTTATATTTTTCACTAATTCTGATTAGCCTTCCCCTAATTTGTTCAAATCAGAGACATCTCAAGATGTTTTTCTTTATGCATTTTTTATAAGGGAAAGATTGTATTTGTTTTGTTTTAGAGCCAAGAGAAGGGCCCTGAATGTAGCCAGGATCACTAAAATTCTGCAAACTTCATGGAATAATAATTGAGAGGAATACGAGTTTTCACTAAATCAAAAGGTAATCCTCCTATTGAATATCAACCTATGCCATAACAACATTAAAATTATTTCTTTAAAGTTAACTCAAAATTATGTACCAGTATTTTCGAGTGTATCAACATGTAGAAAATATCTGCAAGTCAAATGCCATTCATTTTTTTAAAATGTAGAAAAAAAAAGAAAAAAACCTGCTTTATGTCTTTTACTATGTCTTGTATACTTGCAAAAGAAAACTTTATAACATACATTTCTGTGTTTTGCTGAGTAGAATAAAGCACAGAATGCTCCTGCAAGTTTACTGAAAACAACCTTTAACAAACACCATGTATTAGTAAAGTGGAATAATCATGATCAAACTAATGAGATCAAAGGAATTGGTCTCATTCCTAGGTGGCTAATAGTGAATATTTCCATGTGGCTGCTCCATGATATCAGCTAAGGGCAACAATTCCATATTCAAAGAGAAAAGCCATATGTCAGCCATATATGCATGTGGCATGTATTATCTTACACATTTTTATTATCCTCCACAAAAGATCTTGCCTATGTTCATTTTTTAATATAGGCAATTGCATCCTCTAGAGATGAGCACAGCAAATGAAGAATCAAAACATCCCATGTTCCTCATTACAACTGTAAATTGAACATATGCCTTCATACAACTTAGGCAGTGACCCCAGCTGTAGAATAACCAACTACAGTAAGGTCTTAACCCTTCTAAAGTTTGTTTTTAATTACCGTATGCACATCTTAAATGACTAAATAATCTTACAATTTTCTAAATTAGTTATCATTTCTGTGCTCAATTTAAGCTGCTGACAGTGCAAATATTCCCAGATCTTTCAAGGAGCAATAAATTAGAATCAGTGTTTCACCAGTATTATAAATCAAAAAAAGACTGCTTTTTTTATGATTATGAGAGGCATTCAGGTTAAAGGCTGTTTACAAATTCAACGTTGAAAATATTTTAATATCAGGTATTTAAACACGAGACTTTTCAATATCCATTTTTTCAGTGACATGATCCATACATTCGGATATTAATAGTATTTAAGCCAATGTCTGTAAAACTGATAAGAAAAAAATCTGTTTTTAGAGAGCTAACTCTAACAAAAGAAAACTGAAAGAAAAGCACTGAGAAATGACATTGCAAATAAGATACAAAGAGTATCTTGTTTTCCTGATAAATTGATATTAAATGTAAAATGCATTTTATAATGCAAGCTTACTCTCATGCAGGAAACAAATGAAATTTAATAATATTTTTAATAGTATTTTTTAAGTCAGATCGCACGATTTTCTTTCTTATCTTACCCCACGAAAGTTCTGCTTTTGGCCTCTAAAATCTCCCAAGAAAGTCAATTCACCACATTTCAACTGCAACATTTTCTCTTTCTCTTCATTCTTTTTTTTTTTTTAATTTTTTATTTATTTATTTATGATAGTCACAGAGAGAGAGAGAGAGAGAGAGAGAGAGAGGCGCAGAGACATAGGCAGAGGGAGAAGCAGGCTCCATGCACCGGGAGCCCGACGTGGGATTCCATCCGGGGTCTCCAGGATCGCGCCCTGGGCCAAAGGCAGGCGCCAAACCGCTGCACCACCCAGGGATCCCTCTTTCTCTTCATTCTTAACTCCAGGTGATACTAAATAGCTACATGAAATCTATTTCCTTACTAGATTCACAAGAAAAGATAGACTTTATTTAGACTCCTTTCTACCTTCAGCTGCTTCAAACAAGTGAAACTCCACAGTAATGTACTTAGTAGAGATTGTTGAATGCCTAGAATTGTTACTTTCACCTCTCTGGTTTTATTTTTTTTTATTTCTATTTCTCTCTATGGTTATATTTCCTAGTGATAAAATTAGTGTTTCCTAATCATTGAAATTATTCACTCCTGCTTTTGAGAAGAAAAGAAAAAAAAAGTTTAAACATAGGACCTGTCAGGGACTGTAGTCCTTACACCCAGTATCTTAAAGGTAGTCTTCTTAGGAAATATGGTCCATGCAGATATAATTAGTTAAGATGAACTCAAACTAGAGTGGACCCCTAATCCTAGTATTACTTGTGATCTGATAAAAATAGGAAACTTGGGGACGCCTGGGTGGCTCAGCGGTTGAGCGTCTGCCTTTGACTCAGGGCATGGTCCTGGTCCCAGGATTGGGTCCCCCGTTGGGCTCCCTGCGAGGAGCCTGCTTCTCTCGGCCTGTGTCTTTGCCTCTCTCTGTGTGTCTCTCATGAATAAATAAATAAAATCTTTAAAATAAATAAATAAAATAAAAAATAGGAAACTTGGACATAAACATGCACAGAGGGAGAACACTATATACACAAAGAGATTAGGATGAGTCTACAAGCTAAGCAACACCAATGATCACCAGCAAGCCACCAGAAAGCTCTTCACTCTCACAGCCCTCAACCTGCCAATACCTTAATTTCAGACTTCTGGACTTCATTACAGTGAGACAATGAAATTCTGTTGTTTAATCCACTCAGTTTATGGTAGTTTGTTATGGTAGCCCTAGGAAACTCATATAGTGTATAACCCAAGATCCACAGAACTCAGGAGAATGTCTGACATATCTGGAGTCATAATGCTTTCATGTAAATACATAGAATTGTTTAACACTAGCCTTCATATCAAACCACCTTAACCAACTCCTAAGCTATGTCGCTGCAAAGTCTAATGCATAGTTTTGCTCAATAAATCTTTACTTAACCCATAGATTTTTGTAGTATCCCTATAATCATGTCATATTTTCCCCTCAAATTTTGTAGTTTGCTCAATGACCCCAAATATGATAGATTCAAAAAACTACACTTGACCAAAGTATCAAAATGCTAGTTAGATGAATTTGATGTAAGCCAGAACATTTAGTGAGGAACAGACATTCTTTCGAGAGTTCTGATATTTCTAAATTTTGACCTTTCTTGTTTACTAGAGGAACAACAAAAAACAATCACATTAGTACATACAAATATAAATCTACATATGGTATGCCCATTAATTCCTGATAATTTATGACAATTTTATAAATTAACATCTCAATTATTTTATGTGAAATATTTACAATTAGATTATGAAAGAGATATGACTATAAAGTCATGACTATAAAGTAATGGAATTGGCTAATATACTAACATTTATACATCTAATGGATATTGGCCATTTCAGAGAGCATTAGGAGACCATATTTATATTAATAATATTCTTCATCTCAGAAATCAAATGCTCCTACCTCCTTTCAGGGCATGATTTGATGCAAGTGACTTTCTGTTCCATCCCATCCATAGCAGTTTACATCAGAGATAGGTACCTGTGCTCACACTCATTTACAATCCTAGCTTCCATCTTTTTAGTCTTAATTTTCCCAGAATTACAAAATTAGCTTTTGACTCCAAATATATTACTGAATCAGTTCCTATTATCCTACTGTTGTGCAACCATAAAATGGGTAGCTAATAAGGGTCTCCCTCCCCAAAAACTATAGTAAATCTATCTAGAACCAACAGTGTATAAAACAAGGAAATGTTTGTGCTTTGCACCCAAAAACTAC